AGCAACACGAAGTTTTGGATAAAAACATTAATCCGAGCATTCTACACGATTACAAATTTATCCATTTAACGGAGAAATATGCGATCTTACACAAACATAGCTTTCATTCAAGAATGCTTACAGTGAAACGGTGCGCTAACGATGCAATTATCTGTGCAGCGGTACCGTTTCCGTAGTTTATTTCAATACAGGAAACTTATTGTTTCTTATGATAGTATTACGGTATGACTTTATAACTACTGTGTTCACTGTAATACTATGCTATACAATTTCAATACATTGTAATCGTAACATGTTCATTTATATGCCAATATAAAACTAATATCTAACATTTACATCGATTTACTTATTAATTATTTCTGTTTTAAACAAATATTAACACCTTATCGAAGACGCTACTGAAATTTGAGTAACAATATACTTAAAGTTTGAGTAATGATAAATTTTAACAATAAAATAATGTATAAAAATACCTTTTATTAAAAATAAAAATATTTCTTTGATGCATCATTTGAGGTGATATTATTTATTGATAAGGTGTTAAGTGGAAATTGAGTACAGACTGATTAACAATTTTTATCGATGCAGTTCAATTGTAATTACGATTCGAACGTAAAATCTTTGTACTTGAGTACGTTCGAACGAATAAATCACTATTGCGATAAGCTACTTCTTACGTGATAATGATAATTTGAGAATATTAGCACATTGCTTACTGTAATATAACTGGCCATGACACTACAATTACAATTCCAATTATAGTAAAATTTCGCTACATTAACACCTGCACACGGATTTTCGCACAAACTAATCCCACTATTTTAGAATATGGAAATTCACGAAGATTATCAATGAGTTTGCAGATCTCATGCTGAACGGTTATGTCACATCATGTTGTAGCATCACGCATTTTATTCTTATATTACCACGCGTTTTATTGCCACGCGATGTTTTGCAACACGATATATTACCGTGCGTTGTATCCCCACGCGTTATATTGCCACATGTTATATCGCAGTGCATTCTATTGATAGGCATTATTTCACCACATATTATTTTGCAACGCGTTATATTGCCAAGCAGTATTTTGTAACGAATTGTTTTACTACTCGTTATATTGCCACGTGTCGTTTTACTGCGCGTTGTATTGCTTTCGCCATATATTGTAATACTACGCGTTGTATTACCACGCGATATTTCGCCACATGTTATATTGCCACTCATTGCTTTGCAACGCGTCGTTTTATTACGCGTTATATTGCCACGCATTATTTTGCAACCTATACTTTTACTGCGCGTTATATTTCGCAATATATTGTATTACTCCGCGTTATATCGCCATACGTTATATTGCCACATGTGTCGTAATGCAACGTAAATAACGCACAAAAATAATGAAAATAATAATACTTATAATTATATATAACTTTCTATATTTTTTACTTAAACAACTGATATAATTATCTTTAAACTATTCCATAAGTGTTTTTATTTTAATTTTTCCTAATTTTAGTACAAGTATTAAGATAGTACAGATACAGAATGGATTTTTAAGGAACTTTTTCTGAATAATTATCGAATAAAATTTTCCATTAAAAAGATTGAAACGTTTCATTTAGTAATTATTCAAAAAGTCACAATTCCGATCATTGTATGTGAAAATACTTAATTTTCATTTTTTTAATTGAAACTGCTATAAAATTATGATATATTAACATACAGTGCATTGTAGGATTATTTCCGTGTCTTAATTAGTGTTTTACTAACATATGTTGTCGATTTTGTGTTTGTAAAGAAATTACAGTTTTTGAAAATCTTGCGGATATTATATTTTTATTTTTAAATTAAAAGAAATTTTTTGGTGATTATTTTATATTGATTATAATTATAAAGGAATTTATTTGGAGACTAACAAACGATATTCCAACACATAGAATTTTATGAAATTGTATCTGTCATTCCGTATCATTTTTAATTAAAAAGAATTACAAAGTAAATACAAAAGCTACATATGATTTCTCTAAAAAAAATTTAAGCATCTTATTGACTGTCAGTAGAAAACCTAGAAAACTATTCCTTTAAAAAGTAATGTTTTAAAACTGATATTTTCACGTTCCTTAATGGTCTTTTCATGTTCCTTGTCTTAATGAAAAATAATAGTTACACTATATATCGTTACAACATTTAATTACTACACGTGTCTAATTGGCATATGAATCCACAATGCGTTCCAATGCCAACTCATCAGGCGCGTGCAGCAGTTATTATTTACTACAAAGGACCATTATCACGAGGCAAAATGTTGATCTTGTTCTAAATATTGATAGTGTACAATATTCACTGAAGAATTCATTGCTATAAATTTGGTATCTGCAATTTGAATTTAAATCTCTCGCATCGAAAGGATTAATGTGAACCACTGTAGGTCAAAGGTAGCACGTGTTCCCTTGACACTCGTACCAAGCAGTTGCGTTAGTCGTCGGTAACAGAGCTCGATTCGACCTTTATGCAGGGATTCTCAACACGTGGAACTCATATAAATATTTATAATTAATATTTATACTCTTATAAATTTTAATTAAGACTAATTCAAATAGTCCAACGTAATAAATATATTACTGCAAATATTCTGTTAATACAAATGTATATGAGAAGCTAATCTTGGCTGTTAATGTTATCAAATTTACATTTGTTTAGACATATTTTTTATACCAAGTATATCCTTAACACTGAAGAAATACAAATTAAATTTTATTAACCGAGAGAAAACGGCAGTAAATTTGTTAGTTCTAGTGTGTAGATAGTTGCAAATCAATTGGGCAATTTTAAAATATGAAAACTCTGTCACAATTTCATGACAGTGAGTGTGACACTTTACGGAGTGACACTTATGTCGGTTTAAAGTTTAGGATCTGAAGAAAGTAACTGCATAAACGTTTTATGGATATTTGATAGACTGCTCAAACAACGAAAATCAATACAAAATTTGCATATTACACCTTCGTTAATGACATCATCTATTACGAGAAGAATAGTTATATCTTCAGTAGTAGTAAGGTGTTTGCTACGATTATTACCAAACAGCTATATTTAAAAAATAACTTTTCAAACTACAAATTTTCGTTTCTCATTTTAATTTTGAACTATATAGTTAAAAAAAATTGAAACGGTGGGCCATTGCAATTAGAGCTGATTTTATAAGAATTTGTAATTTAAGTTAATTAGCGATATGAGATAGTACTCTATGACAACTTCTTCGAAGAATTGTGGTTAAATGTTAAGTTATAAGAAAACAAAATCGATTGTTTGGTGCGAAATGTGGGAATACCCCCTGAAGAATTACCATGTGGCGTACTTACATTCACAAATGCTCTCTGGGGGCAGTTTTAGAGAATGGTCGTATATGGGTGAAAGTCAGTCTATATCAAGAAACATGAATGAAGCAGAATGCGTGCTGGTTATCGCACGACCTGTGTCAGTCTTCGTGACCCCGTTGCGTGGATTCTCAATCAATCGTAACATTGTGCATACGTGCTGCGTGTACAGTGATTAAACCACTTTTAAGCAGATTCATATCTTCTCGTATTTCAATACTAGGGTATTTGTTCAACACTGTTCCGATCTTGGGATCCACAGGAAATTTTATCGACAATACAAATATTTGGTTGTGGATATCGGAACATCAGAAGTGCGAGACAATTTCATGACATAAAACTATCACTTTGAGTATATCAATTTGAAGCTTAATAATGCCACTATATAAACGCCCCTTTAGTATTTCTAATATTGACAAATTCATGAAAGAAGTATTAGATTACTATATGTATATAGAATCATTTCGGAGTGTAGAGTCTGAGCTAATTTCAGGACATAAAAGTATCTCAGAATGGTACTTATGATGCGTCAATCTGAAATTTGAAACTTCATGGAAACGATCATGTGACGACTTCATTGACATATTCAATGCAAGATAGTTGTCGATTGAAACAACCAATATTGCAGCATATCAAATCTCAGAATGTAAAAAGTCTAGTGAAATTTCATGACATAAAAGTGCGGTCAAATAGCACTTATGATATATTAATTTAAAGCTTGAATTTAAAAAAAATGCCCATGAAAAAATCTCATAATCGTCTTTAATGTGAATACGCTAAAAAAAGTGAAAACAGAGGTATTAAGTTGTTGCATATCGATGGTTTATTTCGAAATGTAAGATTTGTTTCATAACAAATTCATGACATAAAAGTGTCGCAGAATGGCACTTATGGCACATTAATTTGAAGCTGAAAGTGCGAAGAAAATTACTATGGAAAGGCTTCATCATTGTTCTTATGACAAAATGATTGATTATCAATCAAGTCAAGGAAATGTACTAAATTAAATATTCAATTTCAGAACATCAAAAGTCTGAGACCGTTTCATGGTATGGTCCCGCAAAATAACACTTGTGCTATATAAATTTCAACTTTAATATTCGTTGAAAAAGATTACATCAAGTTTTGATAAATTTTTTTAAGTATTTAAGAAGTGTCAGAACATCGTTCTAATAGTTATTGTGTTATCGATAACGGATAACAAAATGAGTACCTAATAATTAACAGCTTGTATTAAAAATATTAATAAAACGCGTATAGACTCATTTTCGACATATCTTAAGCTTTTTTCTGATATATCGTGTCGTATAGCGATACTTGATTCGTTTTGAAGCCATGCACTTTTTGTTATATTACTTTTTGTTATATCAACCCGCTATTTTGTATCAAGATTATTAATGGAGCATTTATACTGTTGATTCTAGCAAACTTAAAGCTCCAAATTGATATGTAATATTTGTTTTCTAACGATACTTTTCTGTCAGGAAATCGTGGCAGACTGTCAATGTTTCGAAATTGCTCATTTGGTGTACTGATCACTCCCTCGTGTGAAATTTCTTCTCCCCCTCGTGTTGTTGGCCTTTAATGATTCTTCTGCTCCTAATTTCGTGGTTATTTGATTTTCAGTAGGTGGGAGAGCGGGGGCGGGTGGAGGCGGCGGTGGTGGAGGTGGTGCACCCCTTTACGGTCGCCTGGTAGCCGAGGAACCCTTGCCCCCTACGGTATGTGGGGGTGCCGGTGCCGGTGGTGGTACCGGTGGGGTTCCGCAAGAAACCCCTGCGGATATTCACGCCATGCAAGCCAGGATACCCCATAGGTTTCGTGATCCAGCGACGGCACCCCTTAGGAAACTCAGCGTCGATCTTATCAAAACTTACAAGCACATCAACGAGGTAACAACATCCTCTTCTTTCATTTCTTATTAATTATTCTTCCTTTTGGTGAACACAAAAATTAATAACATTTATATTAATTGAACTCATTGCCAATGGATGATGTACTGATACATAAGAGTCATACATAAAATCATTTTATGTATGATATGTACAACATATTAGTATGTTAATGATGTAACAAGAAAAGGAATAACAAGAAGTAAAAATAAAGCTGTTACTGAATTTATTAAGAATATTATATTTCTTGTACCTAATGTTTGTTGTAAAATTTCATTATATTTTGAGGTAAATATATCTTATAACGTAAAAGCAACTTTTATGTTCTTTTGATGTCCACAGTTTAAGCCTCAGCGTCAGACTTGAATGATTATTCAAATGAAAAAAACAGAATACTTTTAACGTGTAGCTAGAAACATAAAGTCAAATGGACTTCAACAGTCCAAATTTTTATTGTTTTAACAGATATCACTTAGGTCTGTAATAGTATCTTTTTGATTTGTGTTAATTACCTCTGAATTTTTTAAATTTTTGTATCGTCATATTCATGTACGCTTCACCTTACTTTTCTGCACAACAAAATATTAACTATAGGTTAATAGATTATTTGATCAATTTTTTTACATGGTTTATTGCTTCATTAATTTAATAATGGTTATCTTTTTTGTAGGTTTATTATGCTAAGAAAAAGAGAAGAGCGCAACAGATGCAAGGAGAAGACGGTTCCCATAAAAAAGAAAGAAAATTGTACAATGATGGCTGGGATGATGATAATCATGATTATATTATCAAGAATGGGGAAAAGTTCCTCGATCGCTATGAGATCGATTCGTTAATAGGTAAAAAAATTGTTTTTCATATTATAGCAACAAGATATACAATAAAAAACAGTAACAATACAATGTCAATAAAAAATGATAGGTTAGTAAAGTACGAAACTGAGTCATGATGCTTCTTAGTAGTAAGTGTAAAAGATGTTTGCTTCTTGTATTTAACAAACATTATAACAGACAAAATGTAGAAAGCACTGTATTGAATCATGTCAGTAAAAGATTATAACCTTAATGTAACTATAAAATCCATGTTTTTATAAGCGATGAAATAAATGCTATACAATATTAATATTTTACAGGTAAAGGCAGTTTTGGCCAAGTAGTAAAAGCGTTTGATCATGAAGAACAAACGCAAGTGGCAATAAAAATTATCAAGAACAAAAAACCTTTTCTAAATCAAGCGCAAATTGAAGTGAGGCTATTGGAAATGATGAACAGGGCGGATACTGACAACAAATATTATATAGGTTGGTTTTGAGTTTTAATTATTATAAAATAAAAGCTGTTTATATATTTTAAACCTGAAAATAAATTATGTAATTTTAACCTTTAAATTACAGTTAAGCTAAAGAGGCATTTTATGTGGCGAAATCACTTATGTTTGGTATTCGAACTATTATCATATAACCTATATGATCTACTTAGAAATACAAATTTTCGAGGAGTATCGTTGAACTTAACAAGGAAGTTTGCACAGCAACTGTGTACTGCCCTTTTGTTCCTGTCTACACCGGAATTGAACATCATTCACTGTGATCTGAAACCCGAAAACATACTTTTGTGCAATCCCAAACGAAGTGCGATAAAAATAGTAGACTTTGGTAGTTCGTGTCAACTTGGACAAAGGGTAAGCACATAAATAATATTCTCGAATGTGTTAACATTTTTTTTTAACTAATTTTATGTAAATGTACAAACTAAAAACTTTATTATTGATACTTCCAGATATACCAGTATATTCAATCCAGGTTTTACCGATCTCCCGAAGTCTTATTAGGAATACCTTACGACCTTGCGATAGACATGTGGAGTCTAGGATGTATTTTAGTTGAAATGCATACGGGAGAACCTCTGTTCAGTGGGGCCAATGAGGTAACAAAATTATATTTTTAAACATCTGTTCTTCATATTCTTCACATTTAGCTCTTCCTAGATATTCCTTGTGTTCCTAGTAGGTTCTCTTTGGGTCCTCTTTAATTTCTTCCTGATTGTTCTGTGGATGCACCTTAAGATTCTCATAGATTCTTTTTTGGTTTATCTTGGATTTCGCGTGGGTCCTCCTCAGATTCTTTGTGAATGCTCTATGAATGTTATCTGATATCTTCACAAGTTCTTCCTCAATCCTTCCTCGGTTTTTCCTGCGTTCTTCATGGGTTCTTTGTGAATTTTTTGTGGGTTCACTATGAAATTTGTCTGAGTTCTCCCTTTTACACAATTAGCTTTTGATTTTGTGAAAAATTAAACATTTTACAGTTTGTATCATACATTTATACTTTGGCTCTGTGCTTATTATTTAAAAAGAATTTTTATTTATATTCTAACGCATTTTCGTGTTTTACAGCTCGATCAAATGAATAAAATTGTAGAAGTACTAGGAATGCCACCGAAGCATATATTGGACCAAGCGCACAAAGCGCGGAAATACTTTGACAAAGTCCCCACGGATGGCTCGTATGTGCTGAAAAAATCCAAGGATAGTAAAAAGTACAAACCTCCTGGCACAAGACGCTTACATGATATCTTGGGTGTCGAAAGCGGAGGCCCTGGTGGTAGAAGGATAGGTGAACCTGGTCATTCAATTTCTGATTACCTCAAATTTAAAGACTTAATCCTGCGGATGCTGGATTTCGATCCGAAAACAAGAGTGACACCGTATTACGCACTTCAGCACAATTTCTTTAAGCGAACAGCCGACGAGGGGACCAATACGAATATCGCTGCTGCCAACAGTGCTAACACAAGCCCGGCAGTGGTATCAATGAGCCAAGATCATGGTAAGTTATCGAATATTTTTTGATACATATATAAAGCATAATTTTTGGCTTTCTGGTTTTTATACACACGACAAAATAAATTTGGGATTCATAGTTTGAAATACATGTATATATTATTTAAATAGTAACATTTTCAAACGCTATACTTTTATCATAGTTTAAATTGTGCCATATTGATTAAGAATTTCTTGGATACAAAATTTTATGATAAATACAATATTTTATAATGCGTCAGAAGTATGATGTGGGAAATTAATTTCTTTTTGAAAATACTATTCATGGACACAGAAAACGGCGCACGTGTCTTTTACAGTGTAAAATATGCAATAACTGTACTGACCATATAAATGAGTGCTTTAAATAGTTAGGCTTTTCAGAATTACAATATATACCGCTTAAATTTATTTATCCTATGTTATACATAATCATCATTTTTTCATATGTTAAATTTGTCTTATTTTACTATCGAAAAGGTTAAATGAATTTTCAGAAATGTTAATCGTTGTTTTCACATGCGTTATTGCAACTTTTCTCACATATTGACACTTTTTTTATAAATTGAGGCAAAATAAAAGTAACCGGTATATCCAATTAATATCAAACTAAAATAAATGTTTTATGATGACAAAGAATTATTGAATTAAAGCGATACAATGATTTGCATTGAACTTTTTAAAGGATTGCTTCATTGCATTGAAGATTTAGGCAGGCTTTAATTTGTGCAGAAAATAAGAAACTGTCTTATACAATTGTTTATCGATGAAGAAGAAAAACTATACATAGTTAATAAATTGGCATTACTATCATGACAAAAAAGATAAGTTCTATTTGGTTAGAAGGTAAAAAGAGATACAGGATATCCCTCATAACGTGATCAACCAACTAGAGGGTAATTTTATGTGCAAGAATAAGTAGAAAATATGGAATTAAAAATTCTTGTGCGAAGTTTTGTTTTTAAGAAAATAACATCAGGTAGTATATGAAAAAGACAAAACGTTTGTTTTACAATACATTTAATTTTTTGGCATAAATTTTCCAGTCCGATTTTCTCGAAAACAAAGCTTCGAACAAGTAAATTTCATTCTACATTTTCAACTTAGTTTTACACACAGGATGACCCCCTGATTAGTTCACCACATTATGTGTAACATCTTGTACAACAATAAATTTTATTTTTATTGATATCTTTTATTTTCTGCGCAAACTAAATGATACTTGTTGTTGCCCGTAGATATGATGGGGGGACAGTACGTGGCTCGATGACTGTCGTATCCGCGGGGCGGCGACGACCTGTCCTAGGCCCCAACCCTAATCTTACTTACTAACATAAGTAAGTTCTGTCTAACAAACAATCCTACAAGCTAAAAAACTAACAATGTCCCTGATAATCATATCCTGGCCTCGGATGTAACGTGCGAAGCTTTGCTTGCTTGAACGAAAGAAACTCACACTTCCGATTCTTCGAACGAGACACGGATTCATTTTAATTGCCCGTGCCTCTGGACTTCGATACAGTGTGCTCCTGTAACCTCTGTATCTGTCATAAGATTACTACAATGCAGTCTCGCTATATGATCACGGACCGAATTCTAAAAAATGGACAAAATTGAAAGTGCTATATAAACAAAACTCTTTCTATGCAGTATTTGACTATCATTAAAAATTTTTAATTTCTGAATTCCAAAATTTGAAGATTTGTAAGTTTGTAAATTTGATATATCTGAATCTATTTATGAACTGATGATAAAGAAAAATAATACTAATATGTATGAGAGTTTTTATAAAGAGGACTTGCGTAATAGGCCATACAAATGGGAGCGATATAGCAAGATTGCACTGTACTAGATTAGTTATCTAAGAATATCCGTCAATAAGACAAGCTATATTAGACGAAAGCAGAAATATCAAATATTATCGCAGAAATATGTGTCCTTGATTTATTATAAGCTATATGATAAGTACTTTTTCTATATATATACATATGTATTTAATTGATCATTCGTTTTTGCAAGAACACATATTTTTGCCAGAAATATTTGAATCGTATATTTATATGTTAATTTTTTTATTCTGTAGAACGACTACTTCATTGTCTTGTAATTTATTTCATGCATGTGTTGATTGCTTGCATACAGCACGTTTCGGGGTGCATCTTCGTCATATGATATGCAAGACATTTAAATTTTGTTATTACAGCGAATATTCCATCGAGCTATATAACGTGCACAATCATCACTTCATGTTTCATCTTTTTGAATGACTTTTTACCTTGTATAAACGAATATACGATGAAGCATATAATGTTCATTGAAATGGTTCATAATCAATGTGTTACTAATCACAGTTTTGTATACATATACAAGGTGTCCCGAAGAATATGATACGTATGAACAATAAGAGATCTTATAATGCAAAGCAAGACGATTTTGAAGGGTAATTGAGGAAAACAGATAAGTGTGCATGTACAATATTGAGTCATTTGTAGCCTATCGTACACTGTAATTATGATATATTTTTATGAATAGCATGCACATCCCAGATTGTACATATATTGATTTGTTTAAGACTTTTTTTATTGTTATTGTCATTATCGAAATGCAACAAAAACCGATGAAGGTGATTATATTCTTACAGTATATTTTAATAGTTAATATATTTACGGTGTAGGTTTTATCTACTTATCCTAAAAATTTTCTATTAAGGTATTTTAATATTTTTAAGCATATTTTATTATCAGCATGTTGTTATGAGGGAATTCTATTACTTATAGATAATTATGTACTCTAATATGTTCAGTTTCACAAAATTATTGATTTATAACATTACGTTTTATGAAAAAAGAATATGAATAGCATAATAATATATGAGGATTTTATAAATTATGAGTATTATATTATAAATTATAAGTACAAAATTTTATTTTTATTTTGAATTCTAATATCTTACCAACAGATTTATAGTGTTGTTTATATGGATTCTTTTATTTAATTTGAGATAGGAATTTATTCATAATATAAAAATTAAAAGATTAATGTTTCATGTATATGAAATATTCCATGCATAAATGTTAAAATGTACAAATATGTTAGTGTATAGTTACAAAATTAAGTTTAAAAAATGTAGACTTATTAAGTAATTCACTTTGTTGAACATTATCATTGATCATATTAAAAATATAAGTGATAAATTAATATATTGTGCATATTTTTACCTTATTTTCATAAAAAATAGAATTTTTTATTTAAGAATTATATAAATGATAAGTGTAATATAACCTAGTATATTGAAATATATTATTATCAAAAATGATAAACAAAGAAAGAAATAAACACTTTTTAATATAAGCAATTTACAATTGAAGAAATATAAAAATCTCTGTATATCTCTATTTAATTTTCTACATATTATATTATAGATTTTTAAATATTGAATGTTTTATTTTAAATTGATAAATTTTCTTATTTGTGAATACAACACCATGGGACACCCTGTACATATGTGTAACTTTTTTACTCCAATAGACATTTTCATATTATTAGTATGCTGTTTTTTTATGTTACTAACAAATTTTATTATCACATCAGACATTTGTTATTTTCTTTTTATGGATTAATATAATACGAATAAGTTTATGAGATTTATTAGATTTTTATATCTCTACTATTAAAACCTTTATTTCATGCCCTTGCATAAACCTTATCTTTATGAACCTTAAATACCATTTTATATTATTTAAAATTACCTAAGTGTGTAATGTAGTATATAATGCAAGTAAAGTATAAAAATATAATTATTGCAATGAATGTTATAATACTAAAATATGTTACAGCAATATGCAGTGTATATATGTATACATAACAAACATTACTATTGCATTACGAAACTTGATAATATTATAAGGTATTCATTTTAAATAAAATAATGGGAATGGTTTCATTATATTGTATGTATTTTACTACAGTTCATTATATCTTAAGGAACATTATCATTATGTGAATCATAATTACAATTTCATTCTTTTATTAGCAGGAGAAAATTGAAGTTATACTTTTTAAAACACAATGTTTTTAGTTATTTTCAGGTTAAAATACTCTATAATAAGAATATGAGGTCATATTTACATTATCTTTTAATACTCTTTCTATCACGTATCATTTCTTATCTAATTGACCATAAAATGATATCATTCTTTATAACTCCATTGAGATATTTAATTAGATTTATAGTATAGATATTTAGTAATGAGATAAAAGTTTTAAAAGAGATGCACTCTTCAAAATCGTCTTTTAAATTTAATAATTTACGTGCATGAATTACATTTTCTATGGAAAGTATCATCTTATACATTCCATTAACAGAATCTTAGTTTACTTAAGATTCTTATTTAAAGTTTCAGTTATTCTAGTAGAGACAGAGAAACAACTATAATTACTGCTTAGATATTAGTACTGTATCATCCAATACATAAGTTCTATATTAGGATGTTTCAAAAAAGATATATATAAATATATTTTAAATCTTTTCCCAGAAAGATTAAAGAAAAAAAATTGAACAGTTTCTTACCATATTACAATTTGTATTTATGCTTTTATGGTATAACCAACTAAAAATAAGTGAGCAACTACTACTGCGCACCAAACTTTTAATATTTTAAATTTTTTTAAATTAAATAACCAATCTTTAATTCTTTACACTTAGAACCTAAGACTACAAATTGCAAAATGGTGAAAGGTTTTAAGATTTCTATTATGCTGGATAAATTTTCAATTTCTGTAATGTGCATCTTTTTTGAAACATCATTTATAAGTCTAAACAAATAGGTCTGTTTAATCAACGATACAATTAAAACGAAGGAAACAAAACATTAAGCAGCTCTGCGCCTGGAATGTGTTCCCGTAGTACTTTGGAATTGTTTATTTTGTTTTATAATTCTCCCATAGTGACAATCTATCGTAAGAGCTAGTTTAATTCATTGAATGATCTATTTTGTTTTTTGCATTAGTGTGAAAGTTGCACCGCATGATTTTACAATCTAAACCTGTGTTCTCTTCATGTCCCAGGACTGGTAACCATGTCAGGACAGGGAAGCAGCAACAGTGGCAATCCGATGCAAGTATCAAGTCTCCCTGGTGGCTATCAGCCGATGGAGTGCGAGTCATCGCCCCGTCATCTGGGCAACCGACGCGTCGTGACAACGAGCTACCCGTCAACCTCGGCCACTGGGGTGTCTGCATCAGGGCCGATGTCCATGCAATCTGTAGACAGCTCCCTGAAACAAAGCTCTCTTGGATCGTATAATAGCCTAATTCTCCCTGGTATACCCTTGCCTGCTATGATGACCTCGCCGATGATTCAGCAGCAGAGTTTCTACAATTACGGTTATCCGACGAGTGACGCGCACGGGATAGTCAGACAACCGTCTACGGTTTCGACTGGTAAACAGAGAGATCCGGAAAGGGAAGATAGTCCTATGGTCGGAGTATGCGTCCAGCAAAGTCCAGTTGCTATTCACTGAATAACAAAAAGAGAAAGAACGAAAGGAAACTACGACGACGGTCGATGACAACGTAAACTGTCGCGCGGTACCGTCAAAAAAAAATATATTAGGGTGATTATACATACTGTATATATACAAAGTTGACGGCGATACCGCCAACAAATCTGTTGTACTGTTTACGAGAAAGAAAAAAAGAAGGAGGGAAACGAGAACGGGCAGTCGAGGTACTTCCCCGTTGGGTTGCTTTACATTTCGTCGTTGCCAACTGGTGATGTTATCGCTTCAAGGATAAAACGTGAAAAGAAGGAATAATTGAACTAGATTCAATTGAGTAATCACGACGGAATGTAAAGGAAAACGCGAGGGAAGATTCCTCATTTCCGTCAGTTATTTTCTTTCCCTTCTTAGTTTTTTTATTTGTCTAAAGAAGCCGACTGGTCTTACTATTGGGCACGGATACACCGCGTCCGGCACAGAAGCTTATGATACTTTGCTTATGAGCACGGACAGACGAAACAAAATGGTCTAGTGAGGATGAACCCAGCTGGCCTCTCGGGTCCTGCCCGATTCTGCAAACACTCCAAAAAAGAAACGTTTTTAGTCGCGTGCAACGTCGTTAAAGAAATTTTGGCACCCAAAACTGTGTGGCCTAGAGAGCGAAAAAGTGATAATTATTATTATTATTATGATTATGATTATGATTATGATTATTATTATTATTAATTAAAATGCATAAAACAGGAGAGGGGATTAAAGAAAAAAAAATGAAGTAAGAATTACCAGTGTAAGCATATACTCCAATAGAGTTTTATACACAATGTCACGAATGTAAACGGTTTTTAGCAAGTAATTGCTAGCGAACAGCCGCGTCAAATGCTAGTTATTTGTACAATATATATAGATAATTGATAAGAGTGCAGCTTTAGGATTTTAGCTTATAAGTGTGAAAGAAAGAAAGAAAGAAAGGAAGAAAGAAAGAGAAACACTTGACATTGTAAACACACTCGACTCCGTTTATTTACTTTGATGAATAGAAAAAAGAAGAAAAATGAAAAAAATGGGGGG